AAAAAAAAAAAAAAAAAAAAAAAAAACAAAGACAAGCACGACAATGTCATCATCATTTCTTTTCCGTGAATGCAAGACAAAAAAAACAAATGTAGCTCCTTTCAACTGGTGGGGGGGCCTGCACCTGTCCTGCTGGAAACCGGGTTCAGTAGGCCAAAGAAAATACATGGCAGACTGTACCAAACTTTTCCACAAAAGTCGTTCAATGACACACATCGAACGAAGTTGACCATCATCGTGGCAGGGAAATTCTAGTGCAGAGAAATTCTAGTGTGAATGCGCCCTCCAGTAGAGTCACCTCTTCCTCCCTTCATGCAGGGAAATTCTAGTGTGAATGCGCCCTTGCAATTCAAAAATGGCAACTGTCTCAAATTCACAAAAAACATTTATTTACAGCTCTTCTCAAAGTTCTTAGTACTTCTTACTCCTCCCTACATCCCTCTCCTCCTCCCATCCCTCTCCCTCTCCTCCTCCCTTCCCCTTCCCCCTCCTCCTCCCTCCTTCCTCCTCCCCACCCGTCCTCTTCCTCTTCCTCAACCCACCCTCCTCCCCGCCCCCTCCCTCCTCCCGGTCCTCCCCCTCCCTCTTCCCCTTTCCCCATGGAGTCATACTGCACAGCCCTAAGGGCATTCTCACTAACACTGGGACTTCCTGTCTCCAGCTGCCACCATAGCCAGGAAGCAGCACATGACAAGTCCTGAAATTGCCTTCATAAGAAGGAGAAGAAGAAGGAGAAGAAGAAGAAGAAGAAGAAGAAGAAGAAGAAGAAGAAGAAGAAGAAGAAGAGGAAGAAGAAGAAGAAGAAGGACGGTGGTGGCAGAGACAAGTGCCAGCTGTTTTACACGAGGAGGAGGAGGAGGAGGAGGAGGAGGAAGAGAAGGAAAAGGAGGGGGAGAAGGTAAAGGAAGAAGAAGAAGGAGAAGGAGAAGGAGAAGGAGAAGGAAAAGGAGAAGGAGGAGGAGGAGGAAAAGGAAGAGGAAAGAGAAGGATGAGGAGGAGGAAAAAGGAGAAGGACAAGGAGAAGGAGAGGGAGAGGGGGAAGGAGAAGGAGAATGGGAGATAAACTGGAATGATGCTGGAGGAAGAAGAAGAAGGAGAATCAGCAGGAGGAGGAGGAGGAGGAGGAGGAGGAGGAGGAGGAGGA